AGGTGACACAGCGAGATCCTGTCTCAAAAAAAAAAAAAAAAGTTTACTGCCCTAACTTTATGACAGCATTATGCAACTGCTTTTAATTTACAGTGAAATCAACTTTGATTTAAAATAAAATTTGCTCCCCCAAATCAATCTATTTTTCACTGGATCTTGCTAATCAAAAAGCATTTGATTAAAAAATTAGCCAGACATGGTGGCATGCACCTATAGGTCTAGGTACTCAGGAGGCTGAGGTGGTAGGATACCTTAAGCTTACGAGTACAAGGCTTCAGTGAGCTATGATGGTACCACTGTACTCCAGCCTGGGCAACAGAGAGAAACCCTGTCTCCAAAACAAAAATTAAAATTAAAAATTAAAAAAAAAAAAGCAAAGCATTTGAGCGTTTGCATGTGTGCGTGTCCACTGAAGGATGCAGATACTGGATGGAGACAGATGTCTTCAGAAATAACTATTCAGAAATAACTGAGGTAAATATAGTTCATAGCTCTTCGATTTTTCTATCAAAATGTCCAAATCTCTGTTCTGAATGAGTCAAGGCAAAGGCATGAAAACACCCCTACAAGGCTGCATGTCCACATCTGTGGTAGGTTACAGACCAAAAGCTTCCCATGTCAGTCCTGAGCAGACTTCTAAGTCAGCTGTGTATTACCACTCTGAGTCCCTCAAAAGAGCTGCCGTGAATTGCCACAGCAGGGGTGAGACCCCCTTGTACCTCCAACAGTTGCCTATGTTCCAGACTGACATTCACAGAAACACTCAGTAGGTACATGCAGTGCGCCAAACATGGGTGATTCATTCAAAAGAAATCTGCCAAAACGGAAGTAGAGCTAGGTTTAACGGTATGCTCCCTGAAAATTTCTGCAACACATCTCTGAAATGTTCTCAGGTGCCCGGCAGCTTCTAAGAAGGCAGAGTAACCTCATCTCCTGTCTCCTATTACTCTTGCCTTTCATCAGGGAGTGTTTGAGAGGAGGTAGCAGGCAGCAGGCAGCAGCAGCCTTTCAACGATTCGTCAATAAAAGGCAGAAGCTGGTTAACTGGAACAGTGAGGCTGAACTACCAGCATGTGACACCTAATACCTTTCACCTTTGGCTGCCACTTCCCAGGCCACACCTCCAGCCCACCCTCCATACTAATGCTACCTCTGGTCGCTACCACTCCCCTATGGAAACCCCTGCAGTGCCCTGCTGCCCCAGGACCAGGCCAGACCCTGACTCATGGACACACCCTCCCCAATCTGTTCCTTTTGGCTGAGCTGTCTGGAAGAGCCTATGCTCCTCTGTGTCCATGTGGCAAGCCCCATTTATCCTTTACCATACTCAGCTATCACGACTATAAAGGCTTTCCACCTCAGCCCTGCCCGATGGTCTCCACCAGCTTCTGTGCAAATTCCCAACCTTGTACATTCATTCATTTAACAAATAATTATTACTCAACTAATAGATGTCAGGCATTGGGCCCAAGGAAACAGGAAGAGTGACACTGACAAGATCCATATGCCACACTGTGCTTATCACCCTGAACTGTAATGATTTCTGGGCTATCTTTAAGACCACAGTCATGTTCTATTTATTTCAGTATTGGTAGCACTTAGCCCAACACCTGGCACACAGTATGTACCCACTGGACATTTTTGTGATTGTAAAAAAGAAAGTTCCAACTAGAGCTAATTAGCTTTTACAAGTAACTGAATAATGACAAAAGTAGCAGGCACTAACATTTATTGAGCATTTACTATATATCAGGTACTGTCCTGACCCAATTACATGTATTATTTAATATCCAGAACATCCTATGAACAAGATGTTATACAGCCCCCACTTTACAGAGAAGAAATCTGAGGCTCTGAGAGGCCAAACACCTAGAGAATGGGTACCCACAGGCTGTTTGATAAAGGTCTCCACGATGTTGGGAATGCCTGTACGTGTGCAGTTCAATACAGTAGCCAGTGGCCACACGTGCCTGGTCAGTGTTTGAAAGGTGGCTGGTGCAACTGAGAAAAGGAATTTTGAACTTAGTATTTAATTTGAATTAGTCACATGTGGCTAGTGGCTCGTGTTTCATGGCAGGCAGACTAAGTGATCTCATTTGTAAAATGAAGAAATAAAGTAAATCATTCAAATATCCCTTCCTGCCCTGAGAGTCTGAGCTTTGTACCACTGGCCTCTCTGCAAGGAAGGAACACAGACCAAAGGACAAAGGGAACAGGGAGATGCAATTACTTTCCTGTGGTCTCAGCTATAAAATTACCAACACAGATGCATTTCATAGCACTTCCTGGGACCTACATGTATGCCAAGAACCACACCGGACACTGCAGGAGCTATCAAAGAAAACCATCACAGAGCTCCCGAAGGAGAGGGGAGCCCAAGAAGGGGTGCTAGCTTCAGAGGCAGAAAGGACATTTCTGTGTGCACTATTAACATAAGCAAGAAAGTAGAGCTTGAGCATAAAGTAACCACAGGTTAGAGGAACTGCAAATCACTGGGACAATACGATGTAGTTTATGGAAGGTCATTTTTAGCCACTTTTTTTTTTTTTTTTTTTTTTTAAACAGTGATCCTGGGCTCAAGCGATCCACCTCTGCCTGTTTAAGTGCTGGGATTACAGGCATGAGCCATTGACTATATGTGGCCTGAGGTAAATTTTAAGTAAATAAATTTTAAAAAAAGAAAAAGAAAAAGAAACAGTGTTCAGCTTGTGCAGTGGCCCAATCTTGGTTCTTTAAAGCCTCAACCTTTCAGGCTCAAGCAACCCTCCCCCTTCAGCTACTCAAGTAGTTGAGACTACAGGCATGCACCATCACATCTGGCTAATTTTTATATTTTTTGTAGAGATGGGGTTTTGCCATGTTGCTTAGGCTGATCTCGAACTCTAGGGCTCAAGCTCTCTGCCTGTCTCGGCCTCCCAGAGTACTGGGATTACAGGTGTGAGCCATGGCACCAGGCTCAAGCTAACTTTAAAAAAATGTAGCTACTTATAGGCCGGGCGCGGTGGCTCAAGCCTGTAATCCCAGTACTTTGGGAGGCCGAGGCGGGTGGATCACGAGGTCGAGAGATCGAGACCATCCTGGTCAATATGGTGAAACCCCGTCTCTACTAAAAATAAAAAAAAAAATTAGCTGGGCATGGTGGCGCGTGCCTGTAATCCCAGCTACTCAGGAGGTTGAGGCAGGAGAATTGCCTGAGCCCAGGAGGCGGAGGTTGCGGTGAGCCGAGATCGCGCCATTGCACTCCAGCCTGGGTAACAAGAACGAAACTCCGTCTCAAAAAAAAAAAAAAAAAAACAAAATGTAGCTACTGCATTAAGTGGAGGGATCCTGAAGAAGGAAATAAATCCATTTACTTAATTAGCAGTCACTACATGATCTGAATCATGTAGCATCACATACGAAAAGCTGGTGAAACCCCGTGAATATACCAAACAAAAGTGACTTGTACTCTTTAAGTGGATAAATTATATGGTATGTGAATTATAGTACTTTTCAAAAGCTTGTGAAAATTAGTAACAAAAATATTCAGCCAATCTGAAATCCATTTCTTTTTATTTCCACCCCCTCCCCCACCCCCACCATCACCAGTCAGCATCTGTTAACAATCCAAAATCTTTTTATTCTTTGTCTGACACAGAGTCTCATTCTGTTGCCCAAGCTAGAGTGCAGTAGTGCAATCATGGCTCACTGTAGACTTGACCTCCTGGGCTCAAACAATCCTACCACATCAGCCACCCAAGTGGCTGGACTACAGGCATAAGCCATCATACCCAGCCAAAAATCTAAAATCTGTTTTGTCTTTTTTTTTTTTTTGAGATGGAGTTTCACTCTGTCACCCAGGCGGGAGTGCAATGGGGCGATCTCGGCTCACTGTAATCTCCGCCTCCCGGGTTCAAGCGACTCCTGACTCAAGTCTCCTGAGTAGTTGGGATTACCAGTGTGAGCCACTATGGCTAATCTTTGTATTGGTAGTAGAGACAGGGTTTTACCACGTTGGCCAGGCTGGTCTCAAACTCCTGACCTCAGGTGACCTGCCTGCCTCAGCCTCCCAAAGTGCTGGGATTACAGGCATGAACCACCATGCCCAGCCTACCACTCCAAAATCTTTTTTTTTTTTTTTTTTTTTGAGACGGAGTTTTGCTCTTGTTACCCAGGCTGGAGTGCAATGGTGCGATCTCGGCTCACCGCAACCTCCGCCTCCTGGGTTCAGGCAATTCTCCTGCCTTAGCCTCCTGAGTAGCTGGGATTACAGGCACTCACCACCATGCCCAGCTAATATTTTTTGTATTTTTAGTAGAGACAGGGTTTCACCATGTTGACCAGGATGGTCTCGATCTCTTGGCCTCGTGATCCATCCGCCTCGGCCTCCCAAAGTGCTGGGATTACAGGCTTGAGCCACTGCGCCCGGCCAATCTAAAATCTTTTTTTTTTTTTTTTTTTTTTGAGACGGAGTTTTGCTCTTGTTACCCAGGCTGGAGTGCAATGGCTCGATCTCGGCTCACCGCAACCTCCGCCTCCTGGGTTCAGGCAATTCTCCTGCCTCAGCCTCCTGAGTAGCTGGGATTACAGGCACACGCCACCATGCCCAGCTAATTTTTTGTATTTTTAGTAGAGATGGGGTTTCACCATGTTGACCAGGATGGTCTAGATCTCTCGACCTCGTGATCCGCCCGCCTCGGCCTCCCAAAGTGCTGGGATTACAAGCTTGAGCCACCGCGCCCGGCCGCCAATCTAAAATCTTAATGAGAAAAGTAGTACTCAGAAAAACCCCTCTAACCTGCACATTATTGCAAACACGTATCTTGGAACTGATGAAATAAAGGCTGAGGAATGAAATTTGGGCAGGCCTACTTTGGAAGCTGCCCATAGTGATTTTAATACTGAATTAAAATATTCAATAATTGAATTACATACAGAACTACATTGTGAGGTAGGTTCACATATAGCGTAGTTCAGGCCCAGAGACCAACAGCTGAAATAATAACATGTTGAAAACATACCTCTTCTAGGCTAAGCTGCAAATACTCAAAGATCCTGTATGGATTTCTTTTGCATATTAGTCTCCTTCTTTGCACCAACTAAAGAGAAAGAAATACAATATATTCAGAACAAATGGAAGCACTACATGTCATAGAGAAGAGACTGTATTTTAAAATGAACATTTTTCTTATGAATTCCCAGGATTCACATTCTATTGTGTTAGTGTTATGAAGAAATGATTAAAACAAAATTTTATCAAGACAGGCTCTTGCTGTATTGCCCAGACTGGAGTGCAGTGGTGTGATCACAGCTCACTGCTGCCTCAAATTTCTAGACTCAAGTAATTCTCCTGCCTCAGCCTCCCCAGGAGCTGGACTACAGGTACGTGCCATCATGCCTCACTAATTTTTTTGTAGAGACAGAGCTGTCCAGGCTGGTCTTGAACTCATGGCCTCAAGCAACTCTCCTACTTCATCCCCCAAAGTGTTGATTACAGCTGTGAGATACCACATTTGGCCAAGAATGTGGCCAAATTTTTTTTATTACTTGTGTTGAAAAGAAAGTTTTAATTTTTCCACTACTAAGATTCTGGTTTATTTCCTTTTTCTCCCATGAATTTTTTCTGCAGTTGTAATTATTTTGAGATGAATTTTGTTTTATGTGTTGCTTTTCTCATCCATTTATACCTAATAAGCATGTGCCTGTTTTTCTTCTTTTGAGACAGGGTATCACTCTGTTGCCAGGGTATCACTCTGAGCCTGATATCCCAGGCTCAAGTAGTCTTCCTGCCTCAGCCTCTTAAGTAGCTGGGACTACTGGCATATACCACCACACCCAGCAATTTTTTTAAATTTTTAGTAGAAATTAGGTTCTTGCTATATTGCCCTGGCTGGTCTCGAACTCCTGGCCTCAAGTGATCCTCCTGCCTTGTCCTCCCAGAGTGCTGGGTTTACAGGTGTGACACTGTGCCTGGCTTCTATGTTCTTAATATGACTTCATAAACCTCATTCTAAGTCTACATGGCATTTCTTTGAATGGGTATCTCACATCCCATTTAGCCATTAGACTGTTTCTAATTTTGAGCGATTCCAGACAACTCTAGGGTAACTCTCTCTGACAGCAAGTCCCTTAATGACATAGCTCTTACCCAGCATCCCTAGGCTTTTCTCATGATGGCTGACTTCCACAATGTGAGCCCTTCTTGCTCAGCTATACTCAAGATGACATGTAATTATCACCCCATCTTGTTTTCTCCCAAATAAAGGAGAGAATACTATTGGCCTTGCCTTAATTTTATAAAATTTTTATTTATTTATTTTATTTTTTTTTTTTGGAGACAGAGTGTCGCTCTTGTTACCCAGGCTGGAGTGCAATGGCACGATCTCGGCTCACCGCAACCTCCGCCTCCTGGGTTCAAGCAATTCTCCTGTCTCAGCCTCCTGAGTAGCTGGGACTACAGGCACGCGCCACCATGCCCAGCTAATTTTTTTGTATTTTTAGTAGAGACGGGGTTTCACCACGTTGACCAGGATGGTCTCGATCTCTCGACCTCGTGATCCACCCGCCTCGGCCTCCCAAAGTGCTGGGATTACAGGCTTGAGCCACCGCGCCCGGCCTATAAAATTTTTAAAAGTTATTCACCAACCTTGGGGTTTTAGTTGAAAAGCCCCTCATAGGCCAGGCCTGGTGGCTCATGCCTGTAATTCCAGCACTTTGGGAGGCTAAGCCGGGCAGATCACAAAGTCAAGAGACTGAGATCACGGTGAAACCCCGTCTCTACTAAAAAATACAAAAAATTAGCTGGGTGTAGTGGCGCGCACCTGTGGTCCCAGCTACTCAGGCGGCTGAGGCAGTAGAACTGCTTGAACCTGCGAGGCGGAGGCTGCAGTGAGCCGAGATTGGGACATTGCACTCCAGCCTGGCGCCTGGCAGCAGAGCAAGACTCTGTCTCAAATAAAGCAAAAACAAAAACAAAACAGAAAAGGCCCTCACAGCTGCTGTGGCCCAGACTCAGAGCCTGCTGGTTCCCTTGGATCTTACAATAGGCCAGCCACTAGCTGCAGGCAAAAGATATCCCCGTTAGCCAGTATCTCCAGCTCCAGGAGCAAATGGCTTTGGAGGAAGCAATTTATGTTCTTCTACTTACTTCCTCATTTGGGGCATCCTCCCTCTTGCTCACAGCACACTCCTCTTCCTCAACCAGCACATACTCGTGGTCAGGCCCTTTGTCCCCAGCATGCAGGAGACTGACATGCTGGCTGTTGTCCTCAAGGTGAGGTCCATGCTGGAGGATGAGGGCATCTTGTTTGCAGCAACAGACTTGGAGCAGAGGTGAAGAGTCCTCTCCCACACTTTTCTCAAAGCCATCTGTTGGTGGGTCGCACCCAGAGCCCTTCTGCAGGCAGCCTAATGGCTCACTGGGATCGCCCATACCACCTGACTTTCCAGAGTCCCTGTTTACCACAGAAGGTGTCTCTCCCCGCTCTGTGCCTTCCATGTTGGAAACCATTCCAGAGTTAAGCTCGTCATGCACTTGAGCCTCTTCATTCCTTTGCACAGGAGGATGCTCGAGCGGTTTCGTGTAATCCTCGAGGATTCTGCACACTGTACTTTCATCCTGCCCCTGTCTACGCATCAGCTCTGCCGCCCACTCAACACTACGCTGATACCTGCAAGACAGAAATACTGTTAGAAATAGCACTCGAATTTAAAAACTGAAAAAAACAACAAAGTACATGAAAAAGACTGGAAGGTAACACACCAAAATGTTCACAGCAGTATTACTGAGTGTGCTGCAACAAGCATATATTACTCCTTGTTTCTTTGGTTTTACTAACATATTGGGGGGGAAAAAAAACCCTAACCCCCTTAACAAACTATGAAAATTTATCTATTTTAAAATTGGTAGATTAAGTGATTTAATAAACAAAAAATGGCTATTCTTTATCAGGATTCGTTTCGTGTTATCATTATTTTTGCAATGAAGTCTCGCTCTGACACTGAGGCTGGAGTTCAGTGGTACGATTTCAGTTTACTCCAACCTATACCTCTCACCCAGGCTGGAATGCAGTGGTATGATTTTGGCTCATTGCAACCTCCACCTTATGGATTCAAGTGATTCTCCTGCCTCAGCCTCCCAAATAGCTGGAATTACAGGCTCATGCCACCACACCCAGCTGATTTTTTATATGTTTGGTAGAGTCAGGGTTTTACCATGTTGGCCAGGCTGGTCTCAAACTCCTGACCTCAAGAGATCCGCCTGCCTTGGCCTCCCAAGGTGCTGGGATTACAGGCGTGAGCCACCGAGCCCAGCTTGTTTTGTACTATTTTCAATTCTGAATCTTCTTATAATGTCTCCAGATAGATACGCCATTCACAATACAAAGAGCTTTTGTTTAGTATTGGAAAGCAAAATGAGAATTTCAGTAACTATTCATCACAGTGCCTACTAACCGCTTCACAGGATAAGGAGAGAAATGATTTGGCTAATGTAAATACATTCAAATATTCTAACAGAAATGGCCCTTTTCCCCACAATACTTTTCAGAGTAGATTTTAATGAGAAAATTCATATTAAGTTTCTAAAACTTGAAGCTAACACCCAAGTTACTAAACACTTCCCAAGTTACAAAAAAATTATAGGAAAAACAACAGGGCAAAGCATTTATGCCTAGGCTGCTGGGATGTGTTCATGTGATGTGAGGACTACCACAGGCTGGATATCTGAAGATTAGAAGGTCAAAGACATTGTGAAACTCAAGTGCTTTTTGCCTCTACCTACGGTGATCAGTCTGAAAGGCATCCAAGACAACACATGGCTTGTGAGAAGGCAGACGTAATTTTACTTTTCACCTTCTTTTACCTGAATAGATGAAAACTGAACAGTGCTCGATTTGGCAGCATGTATACTAAAATTGGAACAATACAGAGAAGATTAGCATGGCCCCTGTGCAAGGATTACACACAAATTTGTGAAATGTTAAAAAAAAAAAAAAAAAAAAAAAAAGACTGAATATGTCATAGTTTGTAAACTGCTGTATCTTACACAATTCAACAAGGACACTGGCTTCTGCTATACCTAAAAAGAGACTAGTGGTTGCTTAACCCTGATTCCTGAGAATCCCAAAGCTGTCCACGCCCCGTTCACTCCACATGAGGATGAACATCAGGGATGCCTCCCTGTATACTGGGAATTGTATCCTAAAGATTAACACCTGGTAAGGCTACCCTAATACCCGAGAGACAGTACGGTGCTGTGACTTTGGTACTGCACATTTTCTGTCCAGCCCTGTTACTTTTAACTGTGTGGCAATGCAAATTACTTCTCTGTGCTTTAATTTTCCCACCTATAAAATGTAGATATTAGTACTACCACCTCAAAGGCATCTTGCTATGCATGATTTTTAATTAGGAAAAAGAACACAGCTGCGCCAAAACCAGTAGGGTGTCTTACCTGGAAGATGGCCACCCATGCTTACATTTAAAAGAACTTTCATGTGAGAGATCTAAAAAGAATCTTACCTCTTCATTATCAACAAAAGTATTAGCTCTACAGGGTCCATAAATTTCCTTTACTTGAACACAAATTTTTGTGACCATGTATATTTTTCTGGGGAAGGGACCCACAACCTTTGCCAAATTCCTTGACTCAAAACATGTGAAAAAACCACTGAATTAAAGGTTCAACAGTTCCTCCTTTGACCAGAAGACCTGGAAGGGAGGGAGCACACAGAGGGCACTGCTCTGCTCTTTGCAGCAGAGCAGTCAAGGCAGATGTGGGTTCCAGTCCTTGGTCCAACATGTTCTCATACTAGCTACATGACTCCACCTCTCTAAGGCTCAGCAATCATCTACAAACCAGGGATAATTGCACCTACCTCCAGGGGTTGCAGCAAAAATTAAATAAAACATGTAAAGTGCATAGCCCATAAGAAGTGTTCGATCAATACTGTATTTGCTACTAATCATTGTAGAGATTTTAGAAGTGGCTTGGAAAATAAATCAGACTCAATATTTTAAAAGATGTATATTTAATAAGTATATTTAAAAAGATGATGTTAATAAATGGAAATGTCTTAATTCGCTGTTCTGTGAGAGCAGAGGCAGCAGTGTGGGAAAGAATGCTGCCTCAGGAGGTCTAGGTCCTGGGGTTGGCTCTTCTGTGTGGCTCTGAGCCAAGCCACTTAGCATCTCTACCTCTGTGCTCTTCTGCGACACACCAGAACCAGGCCGCACCAGTGTTCCCTTTTCAGGATCTCAGAGGATCACTATAAAGGTCAAAGGAGACTGAGGCTCCAAGAGCACACAGAAGAAAGCCTCCAAGTCAGACATGATGAAAAGAGCCACACATACAAATGACTAAGACAACGATATATGGGTCAGAGCTGAAGGTGTCCTCTTGCTGGCTGGCAACACCTTAAAAAGCCAAGTCCTGCTGCCATCAATCCCAGATGCTGGAGGAGTTGCAGGAAGAGAAATGAGAAGTTAAAAACAGAAAGCAAAAGGGGGAGCATGGTAGAGGGACCAGGCAGCAGCCACGACTAGAAGCAGTGACAGGACTGGGGAAAGTAGAATCATCCAGGACCTCAAGGACACAGGACGTGCCCATCCGAACACACCATGGCTTCTCATGCTCCTGCACCCTTGAACACACACCTCTCCTATTTGCACAGGGTACTGTTCCCTATCGTACTGATGAATGCCCATTTATCACTGGAAGTACACGGCAGAGTGGTTTAGAGCAGGCGTCCCCAAACTACGGCCCGCGGGCCGCATGCGACCCCCTGAGGCCATTTATCCGGCCCCCCGCAGCACTTCAGGAAGGGGCACCTCTTTCATTGGTGGTCAGTGAGAGGAGCACAGTATGTGGCGGCCCTCCAACGGTCTGAGGGACAGTGAACTGGCCCCCTGTGTAAAAAGTTTGGGGACGCCTGGTTTAGACTGATTAGTGCACACAGGTTCTGGGGCCACAGTGCCTAAGTCCACGTACTGACCCTGAGCAAGGAGCTTCACTTCCCTGTGTTCAGTTCTTCCACTTGTTGAAGATGGAGAAGAATGGGACCCACCTCATGGGAGTGACGTGAGGACCTGAGATGAGACACAGGTCCATCACTGGCAGAATACTTAGCCCTGGAAAGGTGCTCAGGGAGTGCTGGCATGCACACCCAAATCAATGCCTCCCAGGCTCTGGCGCTGAGCCCATGTCATCTTGGGCAAGCTACTGAACCCTCATCCAAGTCCCGATTTATAAAACAGGAACATCTCTAGTATCTACCCTTGAAGGTTTCTTGAGAAGATGAAATGAGGTAATGCAGGCAAGCTCTGAGACTGGGACTCGCACTGCTGGAGCAGTCGGCATTTGTTGGCTCTGATGGTGATGGTATCTCTACAACACCTACTACAGAACAGCACAACTGTTCACTTCTCTTCCTCTCTCACTAGACTGTAAATCCCTCAAGAAAGGGGACTAGGTCTTTTCCTTGCTCTTGGGTCCCCAGCACCTACCTAATGCAGAGTTCACACAGTAAACTCTGGCAAAATAAAGGACCACAACAGGGTGGGGGGACCAGCACGACCATCAGGGGTGGTCCTTCAGGGACATATCCCTACCTGTGTCAATTCCCCAAAGGCATCACAGAAGGGTCCTGACACTTACCTTCAGAAAGGGTTATGCAGAAGGTGTTCTTCACCCAAGGAAAACTTTTGTTGGAAAAAGGTCAATTTGAGTGAATCCACTTGAAACAGAAATCAGAATTTCAGAGGCACCAGTAAAGAAACAATTACGGCCAGGTACAGTGGCTCACACCTGTAATCCTGATGCTTTGGGAGGCTGAGTGAGAGGATCACTTGAGCCCAGGAGCCCTAGACCAGCCTGAGCAACAAAGCGAGACTCTGTTTCTACAAAAAATATAAGCAATGATTATGACAAGTATTTAAGTTGAAAAATTAATCTAAAAATATGAACATGAATCAATTTGTCTTATATTTAACAAAATTTAGACTGTGATTCCAAGTGTTATCAACAAGCAATAAATCAAGTGTTGGTTTTGGTTGGGGGACATATGTAGCTTGCTGATAACATCTTTAAACATCCTTAGGTTCACAGAGGGAAATGAGTTATAATCTGAAAATTTCTTATACAAAACTAATCCCAAGCATACCTTATTCAAGCAATATTCCTGCACTGTCACTATGTGTCGAGTCTATGTCACTTTGTCCTTTGTCATTTGTAATGTAAATTCAATGTAAATCGATGGCAAATTGAACATTTAAATCTTGCAAAAAAGAAGCAGGATTCATGAAGTCTATGAAAGTGATCAAAGTATGGCTAAGGGATTAGAAAATGAAAATCTGGCAGTTAGACTACAGTTAAAGGAAAAATCAGCTAAGGTGATACCACAATAAGGTATATCAAGAGTGTTGAGGATGTAAGAGAGAATGCTGAATGCAGAGTGAGTTCATGTGAGGCCTGCTTATTGGTGAATAGTTCATGTTACAATTTTCACTTCTTTTTTTTTGAGACGGAGTTTCGCTCTTGTTACCCAGGCTGGAGTGCAATGGCGCGATCTCGGCTCACCGCAACCTCCGCCTCCTGGGGTCAGGCAATTCTCCTGCCTCAGCCTCCTGAGTAGCTGGGATTACAGGCACGCGCCACCATGCCCAGCTAATTTTTTGTATTTTTAGTAGAGTCGGGGTTTCACCATGTTGACCAGGATGGTCTCGATCTCTTAACCTCATGATCCACCCACCTCGGCCTCCTAAAGTGCTGGGATTACAGGCTTGAGCCACCAGGTCTGGCCCAATTTTCACCTCTTAATGCAGCTCTGTAACTGTGGGGCCTTGAGTAAGGAATAGTAGGACAACATAAACCTTCCAGACTATGTGCCTCAGTCCCTGCAAATATGACTTTATCTGGAAACAGGGTCTTTGCAGATGAAATCAATTTAATGAAAGGACATAGTGACTGGTGTCCTTAAAAGAGGCAAAATATCACATGTACCCATACCCTGAAAATACATACATCTATTATGTATCCATTTTTTTTAAATGTGGAAAAAAAAGAGGAAAATCTGGACAAAGACACACAAAAACACACAAGGGAGAATGCCACATGACCACGAAGGCAGCGATTAGAGCGATGAATCTGCATGCCAAAGAATGCCAAGGAGTGCCAGGAGCTGGCAGAAGTGAAGGCAGGCAAGAAAGGATGCCCCGAGAGCCTTCCAAGGGACTGTAGCTTGCTGACACCTTGAGTTTGGAATTCTGGTGTCCAAAACCATGAGAGAATAAATTTGCTGTTTTAAGCCATTAAGTCTGCGGTGCTTTGTTACGGCAGCCCTAGGAAATGAATACAAGGGTCAATGAAACTTCTTGGAGTGGGATACTGTAGTGCTTACAAGGGGATGTTCTTCAGGGAGGTTGCTGTCTCCCTGTGCAGAACCTCTAAACTGGCAAGCTGGCTTGTCCTCAGGTCACGCTACGGCTAGCCTGGCTAGAATGCAGTTCTGACAGGTGAGCTCCCACTATTTCTGACCCCTAGGCTCTGTTGTGGCAACCTGCCTGTACTGTAGCTCCTCCAGGGCTGGGGGCTCTGCCAGCTTCTTAGCAGGTCCCTCCCAAACACCAGAAGCCCACTCCTGATCCCAGCCTGAGGTTATAGCCAGAACTGCTATTGAGATCTCCCAGGTGCCACCACCTCCTTGTCACCCTGCTGGCCATGGGGCTGCCAGGCATGTAACCCAAAAGGAGCTGCTGGATTCTGCCTATATGTGCTAGAAGCAAGATGAACAAAATCACTGGGGACTTGAGAAGTTTTATAAGGTTTCATGGAAGAGCTGAGACGTGTACTGTTCCACAGGGACAAGAAGGTTGGGGATGGATGGAGACAGTCGACAACTGTACCAAGGGACCACAAAGTATGGAGGTGCAAAGAAGAGAAGGGCCTGGTCCCTGCTCTCCGAGAACCAACAGTCTCTGACAGTCTGAACCCATGTATGACAGATGAGGAGAGTGCTGCACGCCAAAGTGGACTGTGGGGACCAGACAGGGGGACGGTGGTAAGGAGAGAAACCCAGGAGAGGTCATGCATGAGCAGGACTGAGGACATGCAGGAATCAGCCAGGCCCAATGTGTGTGTCTGGGGAGTTAGGGAGAAACGTCCCGGGAATGTCTAGGAGTAAATGAGGAAGGGCCTCTGTGAAAGCGTCTTTCTCTGACCCTACAGTGTAGCTTGAGGAAGCGGGGCAGGACCATCTGTGCCCACCAGGCAGAAGCCTGGCTCAAAATCTAGGCCCAAGCATATGAGGACTTAATAACATAGCTTTTACAGGATAGTATTCATAATCTGGAAAGAATTCAACTGGCAAAATAGTATTTAAACAAACTCACATAAGGCATTTCAAAAATGATTTGATTCACATTAAATTCAGACATAACTTTCAAGAATACATCTACTACAAAAAAAGAAAAGAAAGAAAAAAAGGTGTGGACTGGACTGCTCCATGGGATAAGGCTACCTAAAAACATCTGACTTAAACCATAATTTTTACAGAAGCCAAAGTTCATTATGACTTACTTCTTTGATGTGATGATAGGCATGTTTGTCTTCACATCTGGAACAAAGAAGTTCTATTAGTTTCAGGCAAATTTCCCATAAGGGGAGCAAACACTAAAAATCTAGGAAAGACTGAGAATTTTAAGATTCACAAAATCATACACCTAGAAAGTTAATATAATACTGTCCAGTCAACAATGGCAAAAACATGCTTTCTATGCCTCAGCCTCCCGAGTAGCTGGGATTACAGGTACCCTCCACCATACCTGGCTGATTTTTGTATTTTTAGTAGAGACAGGGTTTTGCCATGTTGGTTGAATTCCTGACCTCAGGTGATCCACCCGCCTTGGGCTCCCAAAGTACTGGGATTAAGGTGTGAGCCACCATACCCAGCCAAACTTGTTTTATAATTATGTAATACATTAATATGGTTTCAAAGTCAAATCTATAAAGTCTTACCTCTCTCCTCATCCTGTTTCATCCCTTCCTACTGGGATTTTTAAAAATTATGGGTTACCCTTCCATTTAAAAAAATTGGTTGAGTGTAGTGGCTTGTGCCTGTAATCCTAGTACTTTGGGAGGCCAAGGCGGGCAGATCACTCGACATCAGGAGTTCGAGACCAGCCTTGTCAGCATGGTGAAATCCTGTCTCTACTAAAAACACAAAAATTAGCCAGGCGTGGGGGTGCACGCCTGTAATCCCAGCTACTCACTCAGGAGGCTGAGGCAGGAGAATCGCTTGAACCCAGGAGGTAGAGGATGCAGTGAGCTGATTGCAGATTGTACTACTGTAGTCCAGCTTCAATGACAGAATGAGACTCTGTCTCAAAAAATAAAATATGTATTTTATATTTCCATCTTTTTAGATAAACCACAGCACAGCATGTACTTTCCTTTACATTGCGCTGTCTTCGCTCACCAGCATATCCTATTGATCCCCCATTTCTGTCTCAGCTCTGGAGTCCTTCATTATGTGGACTAATCATATAAATGTGGTTTATTCCTCTGGTCCTCTCCTGATGAACATATATATAGGTTGTTCCAGTCTTTGGATATTACAGTGTTGCATGAATAGCCCTGTGCTATTTCTTTTCATATTTTGTCAGTGTATTGTTAAGACAAATTCCTAGAAGTGGGATTGCTGGATCAGAAGTAAATGCATATACTAGGACAACTGGATATCCACAGGCAAAACAACAAAGTTGGACCCTTACCTTACACAGTATACAAAAATTAATTCAAAACGGATCAACAACCTAAACTTAAGAGTTCAAACTATAAACCTCTTAAATGAAAACACTGGGAAAATCTGCATGATTTGGACTTGGCAATGGTTTCTTAAATAGATACCAACAGCACAGGCAACAGTAGGAAAATAATAGATAAATTGGACTTAATTAAAATGAAAAAAATTTCTCATTTTATACTCATTAGGATGACTATTATTATTATATAGTTTTTTAAGAGGGAGTCTCACATCGTTGCCCAGGCTCAAGTGCAGTGGCATGACCTTGGCTCCTGCCAACTCTGCCTCCCAGGTTCAAGCAATTCTCCTTGCCTCAGCCTCCCGAGTAGCTGGGATTACAGGCGACCGCCACAACGCCCGGTTAATTTTTTTGTATTTTTAGTAGAGATGGGGGTTTCACTACGTTGGCCAGGCTGGTCTCGAACTCCTGACCTTGTGATCCGCCAGGCTCAGAGATTACAGGCATGAGCCATAGCGCCTATTTTTTTAAATGTGTGTTGGCAAGGATGTGGAGAAATTGGAACTTTTGGTGGGAATGTAAAATGATGCAGCCAATGTGGAAAAGAGTTTGGTTATTTCCTAACATTCCATTCCTGGGTATATATCTAAAACAACTAAAAACAGACTCAGATACATGTATGCCAATGTTCACGCCAGTGTAATTCAGAAGAGCCAAAATGCAGAAACAACCTAAGTATCCATCAGCAGATGAGCTAAAGGAACTATGTCCACACAATGGAATATTATTCCACTACAAAACAGAATGAAGTTCTGATATATGCTATATGGCAGGAATGAACCTCAAAAACATGCTAAGTGAAAGCAACAGACACAAAAGGGCATATATTGTATAACTGCATTTATATACAGGAAATATCTATAAAGGGTAAATTCATAGACAGAAAACATATAAAGGTTACCAAGGACTGAGGGGAGAGAGGAATGAGGGAAAAGAAAACAAAGTAAATGCATACATAATTTTGCTAAACATCGCTAAATTCACCTCCATACGGGCTGTACCACATGCACACCACCAGCAATGCAAGAGAAGGTCTGTTTCTGAAGTCCTCACCAATGCAGTATATTGTCAGACTTTTGGATTTTTGCCCGACTGTTGAAATGGTATCTCAGTGCAGTTTTAATCTGTGTATTTTATATATACATTAAAAAAATCCTTTCTAATCCCAGCACTTTGGGAGGCCGAGGCGGGTGGATCACGAGGTCGAGAGATCGAGACCATCCTGGTCAACATGGTGAAACCTCGTCTCTACTAAAAATACAAAAAATTAGCTGGGCATGGTGGCACGTGCCTGTAATCCCAGCTACTCAGGAGGCTGAGGCAGAAGAATTGCCTGAACTCAGGAGGCGGAGGTTGCGGTGAGCCGAGATCGCGCCATTGCACTCCAGCCTGGGTAAAAAGAGTGAAACTCTCTCAAAAAAAAAAATAATAATAATAATAATTTGCATAGTGCCACAGGTGAGCAGGTGCTTAACTACCAGCACCTGCCACAGCCATAGTACTCTGCTAGGCAAACACTCAACAAAAAAGCCCAATTAACACTTGATAATTCTAGAAACTACACACATTTTCACCCAATCATAACCCTTTTGCTTTGATTGGAATTATTCTAGGTGTTAACTTTGGTAGTAAAATTGCCTGTGTACATGATACTTCTCCAGAATTTGACTATATAACCTGAGGCATAAGAACAAACATGAAGGAAAATGATAATTTGTCAAAAGAATGATGTAACAACTTTACCTTTCCATTTAGCAACCACTTTAGGATCTGAAATTGTGAAGCTTGGACGGCTTCTTGAAAGAATACCTTTTCCAAAATAACCCTTCCAGGAAGAGAGAAAGCGAAGTTAGCTTATGTTTAGTTACCAGTTTTTTAGCTGGGGTAGAATATACAGTAATTCCTCAGTAGCCACAAGGGGGGACTGGTTCCAGAACCTCTGGTGGATACCAAAATCTGCAGAAGGTTGAGTCCCTGATATAAAATGGTGCAGTACTTATACACAGCCTGTGTAGGTCCTCCCATATACTTAAATCATCTCTAGGCTGCTTATAATACCTAATGCAATGCAAACGCTAGGTAAATAGTTGTTATACTATATTGTTTAATAAAATATAATGACAAGAAAATAAAATCCACATTTCGTACAGATGCAATTTTTCTCCCCAAATATTTTCCTTTTTTTGAGACAGAGTCTCCCTTTGTTGCCAGGCGCCAGGCTGGAGTGCAGTGGCGCTACCTCGGCTCACTGCAACCTCCGCCTCCCAGGTTCAAGCAATTCTCCTGCCTCAGCCTCCTGGGTAACTAGGACTACAGGCGCACGTCACCACGCTCAGCTAATGTTTTTTGTATTTTCAGTAGAGACAGGTTTCACCATGTTGGCCTGGATGGTCTCATCTCTTGACCTCGTGATCTGCCGGCCCCGGCCTCCCAAAGTGCTGAGATTACAGGCTTGAGCCACCGCGCCTGGCCTCTCCCCAAATATTTTCAATCCAAGGTTAGGTGAATCTATGGAAGTGGGACCCATGATATGGAGAGCCAACTATACCCATCTGAGTTAACAAGAGGTTCACCCCACTTTTCGGGTCTTTACATTTTCCCTCTGATTATCTAATGATGACTAATGATGTTCTTGGCATAATACCTTTCTAGTCGTTTGTAGAGTACTAGTAAGTTTTCAGTACACCTCAATTATCCCGTAACTAATGCTTTCAGTCTAGGTTTGTTAAGCTGAAGGCAGGCAGAGGCAGTTTCTTCTCCACTTGTGGTTCAGGAACACAGTGTGCCTGAAAGCAGGAGCCATGCCCACCAGATGCAAAAAAACCTCTTGGATTCTTTTGTACTCCAGAACTGAAGTATTCCTCTCATTCCTGCTGATTCCCAAAACAACATGTATCTTTCCCCTTTTTATTATAAAATATTTAAACACACAGAAAATTTAAATAAAATAAAACAAATATCCCTTTCTCTATCTAGATTAACAATCAGAATAAATAGGTCAGGCACGGTGGCTCATGCCTATAATCCCAGCACTTTGGGAGGCTGAGGTGGACAGATCACTTGAGGTCAGGAGTTCAAGACCAGCCTGGCCAACATGGTGAAACCCTGTCTCTACCAAAAAATACAAAAATTAGCCGGGCATGGCATCATGTACCTGCAGTCCCAGCTACCGGAGAGGCTGAGGTAGAAGAATCACTTGAACCTGGGAGGCAAAGGTTGTAGTGAGATCACGCCACCGCAATCTAGCTTGGGTGACACAGTGAGACCTGGTCTCAAAAAACAACCAAGAACAACCCCACCACTACCACCAACAAAAAACCAAGAGTAAATTACACATTCCGCACTTCATAAAGCCTCTTGCTTAATGTTACATACTGTGAATGAAGGCCTCCCTGAGGAGCTGCCCTTGGCCTACTCAGACTCCCGCCTCACCATGCTCAGTGCCACCCACTCTTCTAAAAAATGTCTAGAGAAGACACCTTTATGGAGACAAGACACTGATCTGTGGCTGCCCTGGGCTGGCAATGAGAGCAGGGATTAAGCGTGATGGGCACAAGGGAAATTTGTGGTGATGGGAATGTTCTAAAACTGGACTGTGGTAAGAGTTGTGCAACTCCATAACTTTATGACAATCACTGAATTGTATACTTATGATGGGAGAACTTTACAGTTGTAAATTATAACTCAATAAAGCTGCTTTTTAAAAATGACCACAGTAATGAACAGACTACGGAAAATCTTTTTTAAAAGAACTACCATTCTTCATTCAACTTGGTCAATGCCAGAAAACAATAAAAACTAGAACCTGTCCTCATCTGAGAAGAGGTCCCCCACCGGGAGGCAGCAGATAAGGAGCTCAATGTCAGAGCTCCATGCCAGAGTCCCATCTGATCTGTGCTTGAGCAGGGACACTATGCCACACTGTGGCTACCTCTGGGAATGGAATGGGAGTGAATGGGGAATTTTCACTTTTACCCATACATTTCTGTAAATTACTTTTGTTCCTTCAATAAACATGCATTGCTTTTACAACTGAAAGACAAAAAAAAGTCAATCCATTGACCCTACTTCATGGCTGAAATAAAGGTTTGTGGGCAGGGGTGCTCCATTTGTCATTCTATTACACTAACATATGGCTTTTGGGCACCAATTCAAATTGTACTCTTCCTACAACTGGACCAAACTTCGAGGAAAGAAAACACATTGTTCACGGTTGGTGTCGGGGGATGGCTGGGATGGGGAGAAGGAAAGGACTGCTTGCTCAGGGTTGTCTGAAAGTAATCCTACCGAGGCCGCCGACACTTACGTTCCCATAGAGCTGCTCGATGTCCTCTGCATTCCTCACAATTACATTATTGTTAATCATTTCAGCATGGAATATCTTGAATTCCTTCTGAGGACCATGGTCCTGACCAAAAGGGATTGGCAAGGGAGACTCATAAGTCTCATATACTCTTCTTTTCCTCTTTGGGGCATGGAAAACTGCTTCTGCCATTTTTCAGAGGAGGCGTTCTTTAAAGAGTAGACAACAAAAAGAAAGAAACAATCAATAGCTACCTTGATCCAAAATATGAGTAATCTGTACTTAGGCCCAGAAAACTTTGTGGTCTGTGGGAAGAAATCAAATATTTGTAAAGCAATAAACTAAAAGTAATAAGAACAGTTTGCGTGAGCAATGCAAATCACATTGACCTAGAATATTGCAGTTAATCCCCACGATAAACCCCAGGAAATGAGTGGTAATATTTCTGCTCTACCTGACAGCACTGAGACCTAGTGACATGCCCGAAGCTGCAAGGTTAGGTCTCCTGAGAGCAAGCACAACTGGATTTCTGTCTACCAGGATTGCTTCCATTTCACTTACCCAACAGACATTTACTACCAGGAATTCCTAATAATCACTGGTGCTGGGGATACAAAGACAAAACTGAAACCCTGTCGTCAACACATTAAATCTCATGAGCACCTCATTTTCCAAGAGGATCTTAAAATACATACTAAACATTGGGTCGATCAGCTCCCAATTTTTTAAGTATATTAATAAATAATAACAATGACAGCACCAGTTATCATTTAAGGATCTATTATATGCCACCAAATGCTACTGGCTTCAAGCAGGGACTCTAAAGCCAGACTACCAGCATTGGAATCAACTTTACCACTTCCTAGCAGTGTGATTTTGGGCAACAGTCACTGACTCTCTCTGTGCTTTAGTTTCCTCATCTGCAAAAATCAAGATAAGAACAGAATCTATTTTATAGTTAAGATCCATAAAGTGCTTAGAACAATACCTGTCACACTATGATTACTATGCATGTATCAGCTATAATTAGTATTACAGGGTGGCAGTAGCAACACCATTTTACAAACAGGAAACATATTCAGGCTGGAGAGATTTGTAAAGGACCCCAAATGTGGTAGTATCAGATGACGCAGGTCTGCTTAACTACCAAGCCCACACCCTCTCCCTGGGTTCTGCCGAAAGCACAGGCAGGGTCTGCCTACTTTTGTCTGATGACTATTTTCTCAAAGTCAGATGGTGGAGGGTTACTGAGCAATAATGGAAGTACCCACTGTGCACCCAGCACTATGAGGCAGAAAAGGAAGCGAAAGCCAGTACCTATCCCTCTGCGGTTACACATAGGACCCAAGAAGACAAAACAAGTATGTAACATACATGGAAACACAGAAAGCAGGTTGGAGCTAACCAAACAGGCGCAATCCAGTAACGTCTAAAGGAGGGAAGTAAATGTGAGCATATTGTGTGACACAGATACAGAGATGCACTTAACTAGGAAAACTTAACCACTTACAAGGGAAAAAATGGAAACGGTATAAGACACTCCACTCAAGGAGCAGCTTTCCTGGAATCAGATGGGAGACGTGAATCTGCTGCTCCCTTAGTACTAGGTCTAGACTTGATTTCAACTGAGAGCTTACCTGGTGCTTGAAGATCTAGTGCAGCCAAATCACACACATGTTCAACATACGCGATTCCAAGCCCTCACAATGGAAAAAATAAGACCGACTACTTAGGTGGCTTCTGCACTCAGTACTTGCAACCCACTGACAAGGGATGCCATCAAGCCTGAAATAGTCAAGAAGGTGGCCAAAGCTGAGGGAGGGAAAGGTGAGTGGTTTTAAGAGTGTCATGACCATTAAGAAATGAAATCAGGCCGGGCGCGGTGGCTCAAGCCTGTAATCCCAGCACTTGGGAGGCCGAGGCGGGTGGATCACGAGGTCGAGAGATCGAGACCAACCTGGTCAACATGGTGAAACCCCGTCTCTACTAAAAATACAAAAAAAAAAATTAGCTGGGCATGATGGTGCGTGCCTATAATCCCAGCTACTCAGGAGGCTGAGGCAGGAGAATTGCCTGAACCCAGGAGGCGGAGGTTGCGGTGAGCCGAGATCGCGCCATTGCACTCCAGCCTGGGTAACAAGAGCGAAACTCCGTCTCAAAAAAAAAAAAAAAAAAAAAAAAAAAAAAGAAATGAAATCAATGTGTAATGATATCTTCATCCAATGTCTCAAGGAAGAAGCTGCGGAATTATATGAGGACACAGAAAAACAGACTAAAGAAAAGTTAAAGGAACTGATAAATCAATTACAAAGATAACCATGAAAAACAAGAATTGGGAAGTTGGAACCTTCCTAGAATTGCCAGTGTTCCAAGCAGCAACATGCTAGATTAATTTCTAAATAAGGTTCCCTGAAGGAATGACATGCTGAGCATTATTTTGTACATTTCATATTTATGCATGCATCTTGCTGTATGGTGTTTATAACAAAACCGTATCTACTACATGTTCACAGAAAACCTAAGAAATTTTCTTAGGAGCATATTTTGACTAGACTTGCTTGCTGACTTATGCCTCAGCCCAAGCCAACCATCACATTTAGTACTCAATTGGAGATACAATAATTTATTCTAAAACTGAAAATAAACACCGCTTTTTGGGGGCAGGATGTTGGTCTCTAGTAAGGCACTTTTTGAAAGACTTCCAGGAACGGTTTGGACTTCTGTGAGATTTTTCGCTTTTATAACCTCTGCTCAGCATCTGACTATATATTACACTTAGATTTTTTTTTTTTGAGACGGAGTTTAGCTCTTGTTACCCAGGCTGGAGTGCAATGGCGCAATCTAGGCTTACCGCAACCTCCGCCTCCTGGGTTCAGGCAATTCTCCTGCCTCAGCCTCCAGAGTAGCTGGGATTACAGGCACATGCCACCATGCCCAGCTAATTTTTTTATATTTTTAGTAGAGACGGGGTTTCACCATGTTGACCAGGATGGTCTTGATCTCTCGACCTCATGATCCACCCGCCTCGGCCTCCCAAAGTGCTGGGATTACAGGCTTGAGCTACTGCACCCGACCCACACTTCGATTTTTAAAAACGAAAAAAGATTTAGTGGCCAACTTCAAGAAGTTCTAATAAATTCTCTCAACAAATAAAGAGCTGTATTTTAGTTTGCTTCATTTGTTCAGCGTTTTTCCCTTTCAGACTGCTGTCACACCTAAAAAAGGCCAGACTTAGCTGTGACACTTGATGGAAAGAACTCTGTACTCCAACCCAAGTGTGTGGGATGGAAGGGTCCCTACCACAAAACACACCCCATAATCCAAGTTCTTGTGTCACTCTTGCTCATGTGGCTACACACACCTCAGGAACTGGGCTCACAGGAGGCCTTCCACACATGCAAAGCCACCATTATTATTGTGTGACCTTGCACAACCCACTTTCTCTAAGCCCAGTTTCATCTTCAAATTGAACAGGACTGGAGGAATCTGGTGGTTCCTCACAATGTAAACACATACATGATCCAGCAACTCCACTCCTAGGTACAGACCTAAGAGAACTGAAAACATATGTTCATGGAAAAATCTGTATGTGAATGTTCACAACACTATTATTCATAACAGCCCCAAAGTGGAAACCATCCAAATGTCCATCAATAGTTGACCAGATCAACAAAATGTGGTCTATCCATATAATCAAATATTATTTGGCCATAAAAAAGGAATGAAGCTCTGATACATTCAACAACACTTGAACACATTATGCTAAAAGCCAGACACAAAAGACCAGATAAGACAATTAATATGAAGTGTCCGGAATAGACAAATCTATAGAGACAGTTTACAGGTTGCCAGAGAAGGTGAGAAGTGGGAAATGGGGAGTGACTGCTAACAGACATGGGGTTTATTTTGAAGGATGATGAAAACGTTTTAAAATTATATTGCAGTGATGGCGATGGTTACATAACTCCGCAAATACTAAGACCACTGACTTGTACACTTCAGAAGGGTGAATTTTATGGATTTATATAGTATCTCAATAAAGCTATTTTTAAACATTCAGAAGTAAAGACATCCCCCCAGGCCATGTCTTGCAAGAATAGCTTCACAGATACCAGGATGAGGCTTCTAGGGAAGACAGAAAGAAACTCTCCGGGAAGGTAGAGCTCACTTTCCAAGGGAGAAAGATTCAAGAGGACAAATCAGATGATCTCTAGTCTCATGGAAGAGTCCTCTTGTGCTGAACTCGAAAGGCAAAACAGAGGAAAAAGACTGCATTCTTCATGTCTGCAATGGACATTCAAGAAATGGTTCTTTAGTGCCATGACAGGAAAACAGCATGCTGTTAAGAGATGGGATGTGCCGGGCGCGGTGGCTCAAGCCTGTAGTCCCAGCACTTTGGAAGGCCGAGGCGGGTGGATCACGAGGTCAAGAGATAGAGACCATCCTGGTCAACATGATGAAACCCCGTCTCTACTAAAAATACAAAAAATTAGCTGGGCATGGTGGCGCGTGCCTGTAATCCCAGCTACTCAGGAGGTTGAGGCAGGAGAATTGCCTGAACCCGGGAGGCGGAGGTTGCGGTGAGCCGAGATCGCGCCATTGCACTCCAGCCTGGGTAACAAGAGCGAAACTCCGTCTCAGGGGGAAAAAAAAAAAAAAAAGAGATGGGATCTGAGTAAAATAAGAAGAGGAAACTGTCACAGGTAGGTACAAGATGCCAGGCACTAACTCTGCCATGTGCTGCACATGTGGGTACTATAGTCACCCCTTGGTATCCACAGAAGGATGGGTTCCAGGACTCACCTTCTACCAAAATCCACAGCTCAAGTCCCTTAAATAAAATGTCGTAGTATTTGCATATAACATACATCCTCCTAAGTCATCTCTAGATTAGATTACTTATTTATTTATTTTTTTGAGACGGAGTTTCACTCTTGTTACCCAGGCTGGAGTGCAGTGGCGCGATCTCTGCTCACCGCAACTTCCGGTTCCTGGGTTCAAGCAATTCTCCTGCCTCAGCCTCCTGAGTAGCTGGGATTACAGGCACGCGCCACCATGCCCAGCTAATTTTTGTATTTTAGTAGAGACGGGGTTTCACCATGTTGACCAGGATGGTCTTGATCTCTTGACCTCATGATCCACCCGCCTCGGCCTCCCAAAGTGCTGGGATTACAAGCGTGAGCCACTGCGCCCGGCCTAGATTACTTATAATACATAATACAATGTAAATGCTAGGTAAATAACAGTTATTTTTTTTGTGTGTTTTCAAAATATATTTTTCCAAATATTTTTGATGCAAGCCTGGTTGAATCCACAGATTCGGAACCTGATAGGGAGAGCTGACTGTACCATCTTCATTCCACAGACAAGAAGAGCGGTACCTGAGGTGCACAAAAACGTACAGGAAATACTGGGTAAGTCGTCAAGAGGTTTGGGATGCAAAGGCTGGTTTGGAATTGGAGAGACACGCAGGTTCTTAAGTAGAGAATGATGACTGAAAAAAGCTGATTAAGAAAATTAAACCACGGAGTGGTACATCACACAGAGTGGTCCTCAAGCTTAGCTACCCATAACTCCTCATGCCCTGACCTGCAATCAATCACATCAGAATTTCCTGGGTGAATCCAGGTGACTTTAGCATGTAGCCAACCACTGATGAAAGCATAGTCTATTCAAATTCACTTAATCCCAATAGCCCCCTGAGGTAAAGACTATTTTTATTTCCACTGTATAGATGGGGAAAGTGACTCAGAAGGTCTGAGCGCACCCCTGAGGAATTGTTATTTCTCCTTTCCCCAAACTACGCACACCTGATTCCGGAGCTGCACGAAGTATTCTTACGTTCTGTTAAAAGCAACGCCTGTTTCTTATTCTTCCCTTAAGAACACAAGCTAACACCTCTTAGGTGCTGGTAAATGTCTATTAGAAGCACAAACAAAAAAGCGGAGGTGGCTCCATTTAATTTTCCAACTTTCTTGGACTAGGTGCCAGACAAACCTGGTTTAAAAACGTCCCACCCAGCAAATCTCACGTTCTCCCAACCAAAACACGTTTGAAGCTCCAGCTGCGCACCTCCTGGGCTCAGGAAGGCAAGGATGAAAGGGACAAAGCAAACAATCCTGCCTCCGGGGAGCTTTCAAGTTGGAACCCGAGAATAAGCCATATAAACAGATAATAAGCCTTTGAAAGTTGTTGTGAGGATTAAATGCATAATTTTGCAGAAGGCGTCTCGTTCGGGGCCTGCCACGTGGAAAGTGCTTACCAGACGACAGCTGCAACTATTAATACAAATAAACTGTGCACACGCCACAAAGCGTTACGGGACGCACGAATTCCTAACTCCCTGTCTTAACTTACCCCTTTGCTTCTTACCCTGGCTCCCCACACCCGCGACCCAACTCCACCAGAGACTGAGGCTCCTCTCCGGCACTATCAGCAGCATCTTGGCGCCCCAGCCCCACCGGCCCCGGACAAGGCGTCGGCGTTTCCAAGAACCAAGGGCTGCAGGCGCACAAGGAAGCCGCGGAGTCAGTGACCGGGCGTGCTAGGAAGCCTGGCTCTCTGTCCCGGCCGGCTGTGCGACCCCAGCACAGTCCCTGGGCCCTTTCCGCTCTCGCCCTGCAAGTCTTTCGGAAGAGCCAGATTTCCCTTCGCAGCGAAAGCCCAAATTCGGCTTCCTCGCCCAGGGACCTTACCTTTCTTGGCCCCGTGCGCTCACCGTTACCCAGGCAACGCCGGCCTTTGGGGCGGATACCGCTGCCGTCAAGCAGTGCGGCCGCAAAGCCAGCCGAGTACGCAGCCGCAGAGCGCCCGGTGGGACGTGGCGGAGTGCGCCTGCGCACGGCCTGGTTGCGGTGTTTGTGTGCGCCCCTGTGCTCCTGCCGGGAGACGCGTGTGCTCTTTGCTGCTCCCTGCGGCATTGTAGGGACGCCAGAACGATCCCGCAAGACCCGTTTTACAGATGAGATGTAGTTACCCGTCAAAGGTCACATAGTCACGTGGGAGGTGGGAACGACCTCAAGTCTTACGCCCTTGGAGGGATGGGATGTTTGAGGCGACCTGCAGGACTTTATTAAACGGTCCTGAGGAAACTGATCTCAGCTTTCGCAGTGTAGAAAGAGGGTCACAGCAGCGCACTTGTATACGCTGCAGCATGCGGGGAACTTGTGAGGACGCTCCCTCAGGCAGACATGTGGCCAGAAGCCTCTGTGTGCTCAGACTACCTCTGGAGTTAAGGGACGACAGGCGGCAGGTCCACCTGCTCTGCATCCCCATCTTCCTCCCCTCACTGGCCGTGTGATCTTGAATGTCTGACGGCATTTCTGAGCTTGAGTTTACTGAAAAATGGGCCATCAGAATTATGGGAGATGAGCAAAACTAGAGTGCAGTGGGAAGTTTTTCTCCTGACCTGGTTATTTTAAAGGAGGCCTGTGGGGAGTCGGATATATACCTTTGCAAATAAGAATCACAGGAGTTCCACCGCACAGACTAGGCAGGAGGCAAAGGAGGGTGGCAAGGAAGAGTGGCAAATACTGCTGGAGAGATTCATGGTGCTAGATATGATGATGGATGTTGAATTTTGGCCCTTTTCCAATGTTCTTGCCTCCATTCCTTCATACATGCTGTTGCCTCTGTGTTCCCTCCCCTCTGTCAGCTGCAGTAATTCCTGGTCAGCCTTTAAGTCTCAGCTCAGATACCACCTCTTCCAGGAGACTTCTTGCCTCCCCAGACCTTCTTGGGTGACTTGCCTCTGTGTTCTGCAATAGTCCATGGCATGTGTTGTCCCTGTTTTTCTGGCCCTTTTTATTTTTTATTTTTTTGAGACACAACATGGGTGAATCTCAAAAACACTATGTTGGGAAAAAAAAAACGTGTATCAGATGCTACATATTCTAGGATTCCTTTGTATTTTTATTTTTTATCTTATTTTTTTAATTTTTTGAGATGGAGTCTCACTCTGTCACCAGGCTGGAGTGCAGTGGCACGATTTTGGCTCGCTGCAACCTCCACCTCCCAGGTTCAAGTGATTCTCTTGCCTCAGCCTCCCAAGTAGCTGGGATTTTCTTTTTTTTGAGATGGAGTCCCACTCTGTAGCCCAGGCTGAAGTGCAGTGGCGCGATCTCAGCTCACTGCAACCTCTGCCTCCCAGGTTCAAGTGATTCTCCTGCCTCAGTCTCCTGAGTAGCTGGGATTACAGGCACCCACCACTATGCCTGGCTGATTTTTATATTTTTAGTGGAGACGGGTTTCACCATGTTGGCCAGGCTGGTCTCAAACTCCTGACCTCAAGTGATCCTCCTGCCTCAGCCTCCCAAAGTGTTGGGATTCTAGGCGTGAGCCACCACACCCGGCCTGGCCCTTTTAAATTGCACCATGGGCTTGCTCTTGGTAGAGTGAGATCATGTCACAGCATTCAGGGGGTGCTCTGCATGCAAGGACCTTAACTGCTAGGCTAGGGAGTTCAGGCTTTAGATAAACCAAAATCAAAGAGCTTTGTGGTAAGAATGTTGCAAGAAAAGGGAGAAAATGGGCAAGAGTCACAGGATATGGTATCAGGATGCATTGGGCAGGGGAGAGACAGCTGGAGAGAGGCTGTAATATTGGATCGGAACATGCCAATTTAAGAAATACTGGTTTTAGAATTAGAGGGCTTTAACAATGAAAGGGATTCAGAGGTTGTCCAATTAAACTTCCTTATTTAACTGATAAGAAAACAGGTCCAGTGGCACTGTGAGTTGTCAGAGATAACCGAGCAGGTCTGAGGTATGGCTGAAGCTAGAGCCAGATCTCCTCTAAATCCCATCCCAGCTTGTGGAAGGATTTGGGGTTTACTGATAATGGGATCTCAGATGACACATCTGTCCTCAACAGAAGGTCCAGAGTAAAAGCTACTGAATAAGAAAATCCATCCACCCCCAAATATTTTTTTAAATCAAAAAAGAAAAAAATTCAGGAAATTTTAAAAAAGCAATTATTCCCCAAGATTTTCTCCTCAAGTGCATTTTAAACCCTTTGACATTTTTTCAAATATACAACATAAAAGTAGAGAAAATAGTTCAATAAATCATGACCTCCAGCCAGGTGGGGTGGCTCACACCTGTAATCCCAGCACTTTGGGAAACTGAAGCCGGCAGATCACCTGAGGTCAGGAATTTTCCTGACCAACATGGAGAAACCCCATCTCTACTAAACATGCATAATTAGCCGAGTGTGGTGGCACATGCTTATAATCCCAGCTACTCGGGATGCTGAGGCAGGAGAATCGCTTGAACCTGGGAGGCAGAGGTTGCAAGGAGCTAAGATCGCGCCATTGCACTCCAGCCTGGGCAACGAGCAAAACTTCGTCCCAAAAAATAAAAATAAAAAAAAATAAATAATTGCTTCCACAACCTTCAACTTTTCATATCTCATTTCTTTTGCATTCTCCATATACACACTTTTATCTCCTTGCTGGAGTATTTTAAAACAATCCCAGACATTATATAACCTCATGATATTTCAGTAGGTATCTCTAACAGATAAGGACTTAATTTTATTACAATGCATCTGCATCTACCTCTCTCTCTCTCTCTTTCTATATATATATATATATATATATATATATATAGACACATGCGTGTGTCAACTGTGTAGTTGGTTCTCATTATCTGAGGTAATTCTGTTCTATAAAGTTGCTACAAACACTGAATTAGTAAATATTGAACCATTGTTTCCAGGAGAAATTACAAGGTTAGGTGTCTGTGAGTGCTCACATTTTCATCAATTGATCAATACATAACCTCATTTTATGTGTTTCTGTTTAAAGACACCTTATATAATTTGTTGATTCATCAACACTGAACTTGCAGCCAACAGCACTGTAACTCCTGCCTAAAGGAACACCTGTTTCCTCCAATAAGGCACATTTCTTGGCTGGGGAACACCAGATAGCACTTCAGCACTCCACTTGGGGCCTTTTAAACAGTTAAATCACCAATAAAAAGCAAAAAAAGGGGAAAAACATGGCACAAACTAGAGCTCAAAAAAGCATACTTATTTATGGTATGAAAACCGAAACTAGAAGGCAGAGCTGGGAATGTGCAAATTGGGTGACTCAAATTTTTGGTGCTCTGTGCACGCACTTATCTGCAGATGACTGTGACAGTGAAGTACTGATTATGATGTTACAAATAAGTTTCAGCAGCTAGCTGAGTTTGTCAATACATAATCCAAGAATAGGGATGACTGACTATACCAACATATCCCCAAGAACCCTAGCACATTTAATAAAATGAACAGTTATCTGTGAAATGTGCCACAGAACCCCTAAATAATATTTGGGATATATTTAAGAAAAAAGATTTTCTGAAATTCAAGTTCATCTGAGTAACTTATATTTTATCTGGCCACCCTAGTGACAATTTATTGGGCATTTACTATGTGCCAGCCACTTTTGCATCCATGATCTTATTTAATTCTCATACCAGGGCTGTGAGACTGGTGTTCTTACCTCTGTTCTGCAGCCAAGGTTACCGCACATGCCCATGGTGTCATTGCTAGGAAGTAGTGAAGGCCAGATGAGGATATGGATCTACAGGGCTATGCCCTTTTAATCTGTCATGCTGGATACAGGAGGGCAGTGGATTAACAAAATACAACAGGCCAGGCACAGTGGGCTCATGCCTGTAATCCCAGCACTTTGGGAGGCCATGGTGGGTTGATCACCTGAGGTCAGGAGTTCAAGATCAGCCTGGCCAACACAGCGGAAACCGGTCTCTACTTAAAAAAAAAATACAAAAATTAGCTGGGCGTGCTGGCACACACCTGTAATCCCAGCTACTGGAGAAGCTGAGACAGGAGAATCACTTGAACCCAGGAGGCGGAGGTTGCAGTGAGATGAGATTGCCCTACTATGCTCCAGCCTGGGGGACAGAGTGAGCCTGTCTCAAAAAAACAAAAAACAAAGAGCTGGGGGTGGTGGCTCACGCCTGTAATCCCAGCACTTTGGGAGGCTGAGGCAGGCGGATCATGAGGTCAGGAGTTCAAGACCAGTCTGACCAACATGGTGAAACCCCATCTCTACTAAAAATACAAAAATTAGCCAGACATGGTGGCACATGCCTGTAATCCCAGCTACTCAGGAGGTTGAGGCAGGAGAATAGCTTAAAACCGAGAGGCGGAGGTTGCAGTAAGCTGAGATCATGCCACTATACTCCAGCCTGGGCCACAGGGCGCGTCTCAGTTTCAAAAAAACCAAAAAACCAAAAACAAAAACCACACAACATTCAATACTGAAATATAAAAGTAACTGTCAGTGGGAGGTCAGGGAAGACCAGGATGAGTTGAAGAGCCTGGGAGGCTTCCAGGAAGAGGTGGCCTATGAGCTGTGCCTGGAGGGGAGGTTAGCCTTAGGAGGAGGAAAGGAAGAGGGCAAGTGGCTGTCTGGGGCACAGGGCACGCCCATGTGCAAGGCTGGAATGGGCCTTGGTTCCGGAGCCAGGGAGGAGCTGGGCCTGGCCGGGGCAGGAGGTCAGAGCTGTGATAAGGTCTGATAGGTAGGGTGGGAACCGATTGTGGAGGCACTTGAATTCCAGGCTTGGCTTTTGGACTTTACCCTGCAGACAATGGGGAGCCACCAGCGTTTCTGAGCAGGGCAGGGCAGCCCCAGCTGTCTCCCCATTGTTTTCCTGAGACTGCATCGAA